CACTCACCCACCCACCTACCCAACTCACCCACCCACCCACCCACCCACCCACTCACTCACTCACTCACTCACTCACTCACTCACTCACTCACTCACTCACTCACTCACTCACTCACTCACTCAATCAATCACTCAATCACCCACTCACTCACTCACTCACTCACTCAATCACCCACTCACTCTCTCACTCACTCACTCACTCACTCACTCACTCACTCACTCACTCACGCAGTATAACAGGTTTATCACAACCATGTATTATGCTATTACAAACCCATAAATCTAATCAGATATTCTAAATTCAATGTAATCAAATGGTTTATACATTCAATGAAAGCAAACAAACGGGAAAATAACAAAGCAAAAGGAGAGAGGGGGAAGAACGCATAAGAAATGGGGTTGAACAGAAGGGAGCGTGGAGAAAAGGGGAGAAAGAGAGATGGAGAGAGGAAGAAAGGGGGATGAGAGCGAGCTAATAAGAAAGGGTGTGAGAGAGGGGGAAGATCGGGGGAGGGAGAATGAGAGTGAGAAAGAGAAGGAAAGACACATCACGTGACAATTGACAGGAATACAACATATCACACCAGGTTAACGACATGACATGTACAGGTGTGCGAGGGCGTTACCTGGACTGTGCTAGCACGCCGATGACCTCTGCGTAAAGGTCAGCAACAACATGATGGTTGACGGCATACGGACCAAGCTGTGACCTAGCAACACATCAACACACAGTATATAACACAACTATCCACTTCTCGCTTGCCACGACACACAAACAATTCAGAATTCCCATCCAATAAACAAGTGCAGCTTCGTGAGCTACGATCTAAAAATACATCCCAAGTGACAGGTCTTGCTTACGTCCTCGAACACTACAGCTTGCGTTTATACTAGCGGTACGAGTTGTAATAAATACATAATAGAGCTGTTATGGTGAGCTCGGCACAGATATCCTATCAGTGCGTGTGCTCGTGCACACGTGCATGTGTGCATGCGCACGTGCAGGCGCGCGTGTGTGCGTGCAGGCGTGCGTGTGTGCGTGCAGGCGTGCGTGCACGTGCAGACGTGCGTGCGTGCGTGCGTGCGTGCGTGCGCGTGCAGGCGTGCGTGGAGTTTACTGCAGCTACTCGCTGCATTGCTTTATGACGTCGCACACGACGCTATCATCTCCATCCGATAACTCCTATCATCTCCAACGTCATCAAATGTTACGAGGACGGGTCGTTAACGCTGAGCTAGCCAGCAAGCGTAAATGCTGTCATTGTACATAGCTTGTGCAGTAGCCTTCACATCCCCCACCTTCCCCTGCATTCGGGCACAAATGTGGCATCATGTATCTGATATTCACACACAGTGGATACGGTTACGGTTTTTTACTAATGCGCTCAGTGTGTAAGCCACTCTATTTTCTGCTTCCGCCGGCAATTTGCAGTGACAATACTAGTTCATGACTGTGCATCTGGGATTTGCCTTGCCACGACTTGTGCATGACGGCATGCCTGCAATTTCACTTACCCATACACTCGTGCGTCTGTGAATTGCTTCGACTAGTAATGAAATGTGGAATTTGCTTATGCATCCATGTATTTGGTTTGACTATACACTCACACATCTCAGGTTTGACTATAGTATATACGTGATACGCACATATAGTCGCGTATATGTGCCTCTATACTAATGCATCTAATGCATCTGGGACTCATCTATACTTACGCATCCTTGTATTTGAAGTGCTTGAGGGCCATGTCCTCTATGTGTAGGATGAGCTCATCGTGACCGGGATGCACCGGCAGCATCTTCAACACCTCGATCAGCACCAAGCAGAAGATGAAGTCAACGGCCAGCTGCAAAGCAGACGTACGTGTATGCAGTCACCCTCATATTCATATCTACCTGTGCACCTGCATGTCTGTCTCTCTGCCTGATTGCATGCCTGCCTGTCTGGGTGTGTGTGTGCAAGCGTGCGTATGCCTGCCTGCTTGCCTGCCTGTCTGGGTGTGTGTGCATGCCTGCCTGCCTGTCTGTCTGTCCAACTGTCCGTCTGTCTGTCTATCTATGTATCTATCTATCTATTAAGCAGGTACATCATCATCATAATATTATGTGTACGCGTGTTTGTTGTCATCACAACGCACGTACATGTGAGCAACCTCATCATGACAGTAGCTTAATCCGCTCACGTGGTGCCCTCTCGTGGCAGCTGCATAACATCGCGCACGTACGTGCGGGTACGACCGGGTGTGATATTTCCGCTGGAAAATCGCGTTAGGAAAGAATTGGTGGCCGTCCGGTAACAGGCTGTGCCCGCCCGCTCGCTCCCTCGTCACACGCTGGCTGCAGCCACACGACCATTAATGTGGTGAGTAAACACTGCTGGCACTGCCGTCGCTGCTGCTGCAGTGTGTGTGCCCTGGTGAAACCAGAGGCGGCTTGTCTCAATGCCACCAAGAAATGGATAGTGCAAACAAAGCTACGCGCGGATTGTATCGGGGCCCTGTTTGAACGAGGGTGTGTTGATTTATGACGCGGTAAGAACGCGTGGCAGGCACCGTAAAAGGCAATACCATAGAAGTAGTTATTGCAGGATGCAAGTAGTAGTGGTGTGGTAGAGATTAATGATGAAAGTTAATTATGCGAGTTAATTGATCGCTCTGTCTCAGCGAGATAACCACCCTCTTGGATATTGTGGTAAGATGTGGTATTGATGCAAGATTGTGGTCAATCAACAAAAATTTGTACAAATTTTTCACGCGTGTATGCCGAAATGACGGCTTTGCGGCACTTCATCCCCAAGCAATATTTTTAGAATCTCCAATCTCGCAATGCTGAATGGTTAGAGTTGCCTGTCAGTCACGCCAGGCGCGGATAGGTCAATTGTAATGCTTTGTGGGCGTTTCTCTGCAGCAGTAGTGGCTGCAGCTTAACATGAAGCTCGTTCCTTCACGCGATGGTAGTCTCGGCGGCATTATACTCACGTCTCTGCGCTCCATCAGGTAATCTTTCTCCACTCTCGGCTCCCTGTCGAAAAATAAAAGCAAGTCGCACGTCAGTTATAAAGCATAGTCATCGGCGTGTTGATTGTGCAAGTCATGGAGGGGTGGCGAGGGAGATGCCACCAGCTGACGTGTGAAGGTGGGGGTGTTACTGTCATGCAAGCAGAAATTCTTACTTCACCATGTTATCAGTCACAACTCATCCTGAACACTGGACAGTGACTGTCTGGTAGGCAGTGAATAAATATTGAAAGGACATTACCTAGAAATTGACTGGACACTGGCTTGATATTGGTTGGTTATTGACTGGATATTAACTGGACCACAACTAGACTTTAATTGACTGCACACTGACTATTCAATTCAATTCAATTCAATTCATTTCAATTCACTTTATTTACACTTATGACAATTACATTTTGAAAGAATCATATTGGTTAAACAAATTTATTGGCAAAACTGATAAATTTAAAGAAATGTAACTAAATATATAGAGGTGATGGAGTCGAAGTGACAATTCAGTCTTCCAGTCATATCAGCCACTCCAGTAGATCACAAAATAACTATATGATGACAAAAATACAGAATTACAGAATGACTAGAAATAGATTTGGCTTGGGTTTTGATTTGGCATTTCCTGTGCAATAAGCGATTGGACATAGATTGACCCGACATAGACTAGACAATGATTGGATATTGACTGAACACTGACTGCACATTGATCGATTCATTCATTCAATTCACCACAGATGGAGTGTTTTGGTTCTACAGAGAAGCTGAAACCTTTCAGTTCAGCATCCGTGATGTGAAAAATTATATATAAACACTGTATATATATATATAGATATATAATATATAACACGCACACGCATTTTCCCCTTCAGCAATTATAGAGCATTCATGGCGGCGATGCGCAGTTTCTCTGCTGGGCAGACGGCGCCATGGCAACCTGCAGACAAACTCAAACTAGCGAACATATTGCTTTTATACGCAGAGCGTGCGTGCACGTTTGGACGAATCTCTCCAGAGCAGGCGGCATATAGCGGATGCATTATTCATCACCCGCAGCAGAAACCCCACGCAGACCACTGGGAACTGGGCTAGCTAGGCTACCACCATCTCCACTTCAACACAGCCCCTTTCCTCCTGCTCACAAGTACTCACTGATCCTCATCCCTGCACGCTTCAGTTTCCTTCCCCACTCCTCACAAATGCACACCGCATCTTCTCTGAATGCTTCAGCATCCACCCGCTCCCAACCCTCCGCCTTCGAAACAAGGCAACAAACGAGATCAATGCATGTACAATTCCATTTACCCCTTTTTTGCATTACGCGAGCACGCACACGTTATTTGCTGAATGGAAAGCTACCGTCGTGAATCCGTAGATATAGAGAAAAAAGCAGCTAAACAGTGCCATCCTTTTATTTCCGTGACGACGAGGATGCTGGGATAAATTATCATCGTCATAACAACGCAGATACGGACGTGATAGCGTGCGCTGCGCTCTAATTGAAGAGATGAATTTTCCAGCGTGCTGCGTCACGCATCTTGTAGTTATCACTTACAGCAAACGAACTCTCGCGGTTTTCACTAGTCTGTGCAACGCTGCACGCTAGACTGTTCATGCTAAATCTGTCCGCTGAATCATCTCTCATTAACATAGCCTTTCTCATGATGAAAGCTGTGACCAACTATATCCAGTACAGTAAGCGAACAGATGCTGGGGCAGCAGCGGAGTTAGAGGAGGATGGATGGAAGGGCACTTGACTAACTTCTGCTAATATGAAAACCAAACGTAAAACCTACAAATGTCATTTTCAGTAAAATAAGCCTCGCTGCCATCGATTCGTCGTTGTTGATCCTATTCAGCGATTCTGTTTACTTACGGTATTAGTTAAAGGTTTACTGACTACAGTCCCTCTCTCTCTCTCTCTCTCTCTCTCTCTCTCTCTCTCTCTCTCTCTCTCTCTCTCTCTCTCTCTCTCTCTCTCTCTCTCTCTCTCTCTCTCTCTCTCTCTCACACACACACAGCAACTCACGAGTTTTTCACGTCCTGTTCCGCCGACGTAAGAGAATGTCAATCGGAGAAAAAGGCTGAGTCACAAATTGTCAGCTCATCAGCATGCCTCGTGCATCAGCGTGCTCTCTCTCCCTCATTAATACTGCTTCTCATCACGACGGGGGTTTGTCACACACACGCACGCACGCACGCACGTACGCACGCACGCACGCACGCACGCACGCACGCACGCACGCCGTATAGTAGACAACAACCCCAGTCTCTGTGGGGAGTTTTTTTTCGGAAAACCCCTTCGTTGGTGCGAGACGGAGAGCAGAGAAAAAACCCAGGGGTGCGAAAAAGCGTAGCTAACACGTGCGGACAGTGTGTGTGTGTGCGTCAGCTGATGTTGTTAGCCTCATTAATCTAGCTGCTGCTTGACACACACGTGTGTGCATGCATGCGTGCGACGCGTGCGCGCCTGCGTGCGTGCGTGCGTGCGTGCGTGCGTGCGCGCAGGCAACGCTGTGGCTGTGTATGTACGGCTGCAAGCTCTGCTGCACAACCGCACATGCTGAGCATACAACACGCGTGTTGGCTGAGGAGAGACATACTGAGAGACAGTGACAGAGCGACTGAGAGAGAAGACAAAGAGAGTGATAAGGAGAGAGAGAGAGAGAGAGAGAGACAGAGATGAAAAAGCAGCTGAGAAATGGCGTCAGATCTCCTGTTAGCAATGCCACCAGGCAAGTCCACTCACGACTATCATCTACGCATGCAAACAACCGTGGAGTAACAAACCCCGTCGGCGTAACCCCCCAGCCCCACCCACCACGCACACGCACGCACGCACGCACGCACGCACGCACGCACACACGCATGATCGCCAGCAAGCGCACACGCACGCACGCACGCACGCACGCACGCACGCACGCACGCACGCACACCCACTCGTCCACCTACACGCCAGCATCATGCGCTCTTCCACCTTACCCTTTGGTCTTGGCGCTGGCTGCTGCCATCGCCGTGGCAACCTTCTGCCGCTGCTGCTGCAGGAATCCATCCTCCTCGAACTGTCGCTCATACCAGCTGAAGAGTGTGCGTAGCAACGACGGAAGGCAGTGCTCGGCGACCGAGTTCAACCCGCTCAGAAGCTGTGAGCAGAAGATTCAGTGATGTACTGATAAACTCGGCAAACATACCAACAATTACGCAGTGACCAGTATGTCATCGTAATTTCATATTAATATTATATATTATTGGATTAAAATTCACAGAATGACGATGCTATTATTATTACCGTTGTTGTTGTTGTTGTTGTTGTTGTTATTATTATTGTTGTTGTATTAGTAATAATATTAGTATTAGTATTAGTATTAATGTCACACGCCTGTAACCTGCACTCTCATATATAACTTGACAACTAAGAAAGATGGCCGAGACAACCTGGATCTACATTTTATAATCTCTCAACTTACATACTCCATATACTCATACACATGAACAATATAGGCTAGATATACTGGTGAGGTATATTTTATATTTAAAAAAATAGGCAACGACTTGCTTTATGCAACTTTGTGGCACAGAAAATATTATAGAAAATATTATCACAGAGGTGATGCAAGAAACAGGAAGGATCATTTAACATAACACGTGGCAAAACACTAATGCACAAAGCATGTGCAGCATATGGCTGCTAGTTCTCTGTACTGAACATCACCAGGAGCATCGGTGTCATCCTTACCAGTAACAGTACCATCACCATCATCATCATCATCATCATCATCATCATCATCATCATCATCATCATCATCATCATCATCATCATCATCATCATCATCATCATCATCATCATCATCATCATCATCATCACAATCACAATTACCATAATCAACAAAAACAACAACAAAAAATACAATAACAACAACAAACTACAAGCAAAAAACAAAAAACTACAATAGCTACTTGTAATATCATAATTATCAGCAACAGCATCAGTGTCACAACAGTTACCTGATCGAAATGGGGGTCCTCTCCTCTCTGCAGGGACTTTGAGAGTGGTCGCTCCTACAAGACAAGAACAAGAACAACTATGTTAACATAGATCTATGTTTCTGAGTTAAAACGGGTGGCTGCTAGACTGTATGTATGCACGTCTACAAGGGGTATATTCTTAGTAACTGTTTTCCTCCCACATATATATATATAGGGCCCACAGTGTATGGTTGACCCACTTCACTCTTCCACCCATAACAACTGACATAATTAGACTGGAAGGTGAAGAAAGGAAAGCACAGATAGTTAGTAGGACGCAGAGTAGCAGCGTGGGACACAGCATGAGCCACGTTGATGATAGGAAGCCAGACGCAGCATCCACTCAGCCTCTCTCTACTGCACACTTAATGTAATTCTGCACAATAGCCATCGTCCAGAGAAACTCATGTGCTGAGCGAGAAAATCGAATATTTATTTCGGGTCTCTTGCTTTTTTCCCCTTTTCTCTGTTTCTCTCTCTCTCGCTCTCTCTCTCTCTCTCTCTCGCACTCTCATTCTCTTTTTCTCTCTCTCGCACTCTCTTTCTCTCTCTCTCTCTCTCTCTCTCTCTGTCCGTCTTGCGCTTTCTCTCTCTCTCACAGCTGGCTTCGTGTTGATTCAGGCGGAAATCAGTGAGCTGGCAAACAGCTTTGACAAATTTGCCGCCCTTATCAAATCAACGTGACATAACAGGAAGTAAGTGATATAAAGCAAAAGGAAAATCAGATCCGCATAGCCAACAGAAAGAAAGAACCTAAAGGAGGCGGGGGAGGCAGACGAGGGTGGAGGTAGCGACAGAAGGATAGGAAAAGGGCGGGGAAATGGGAGGAAAAAGATGGAGGAAAGGTGGTGAAGATAGAAAGGGAGGGAGGGCAATCTAGCGATCTGCATGCCAATTAAAATGAGCAGGTCACACACTAATTGGGACTTGCGCAGAAGGAAATCAATCAAACTTGTTTTCGTTTTCTCGTTGATCAGTCATTCAAGGACGCCCAGGCGACTCTCCCTATCTACGCCTCCTATCCCTATCTACACCTCGTTTACACGCATTACATCATGACTGACGCGAGTTATCTTTGTCCACACAAAACCTCAAACGACACGTGGAGCTTCGTTTTTTTAATAGGCCTGTTTTAACTGCAAAAAAAATGCGTTTTGAAAGGCGTACGAGTTCGTGGTTATACTTATAGTTCGCTATGACAGTACGCAGTTTTTACACCGCACACAGCATCTTCTAATTTGCGACTCGCAACCTCGCGTGTAATCGTTAGTCATTCTAAAGTTCAACGCAATCAGCTGCCGCGGTTCCCACCGCGCAGCTCATTCCGGTAGAGGGCGCTGTGAAAGACGTCGGCATCGTCACAAGATCACGTGACGCTCTCGCTTTTCGCTCCACCCCGCCGCGGATCCACGGCGGCCGGAAGGTGGCTCTGAGCACGATGCTACTGACTGCAGGCGCTCTCGTTGTGTTGTATGCGAGGCGACGACCCTCTGACATTACACTGTGAGGGTGTAGTATGAAAGTGTCAATGACACTGTAGCTCACCACAAAAAAGGACACAAATGAGTGAGTGAGAA